CGCCCGTTGTCCGCGCTCGCAGCAGACGCGCACTTGACGCCATCTCCCCGTCAGTGCGCACCCACTCACACGCGCACGGCCACGCCGCCGTTCCCCGCCGCAGATCAATGCTCCGTACACACGTCGCTCTCGGCCTTGGACGGACACTTGTCAGAACGAGGTGCGCTCGACCGGCCCCGCCGACCGCCGGCCCCGAGCGGTCGGGAGGCTGCGTCGGCGCGCGACCCGACCGCGAAAAATCACCGACTCCAAATGGAAATCAGCGTCCCATTAGGGAGAGAGCCCGTTCCAATTACACGACGCGGCTGCCAGCGGCGCGGACGAGGCCCCGGCCCGGTGACCTCTGGCCGGCAGCGCGGTGCCCACGCAGGTCAGATGGGTTGGGATGGCCTGGAAGCACGTCACCCGCGGTAAAGTACTGACGACGAGCTGGCAATTATTCACGCCTGATCAATAACGGCTGGCGGGGGGGGGAGTGGCACTCAACCCTCCCGGAGAGGCGGCGGTCGCTCGGGAGGAGGCACGAGCGTAGCCCAGCAACTAGGAGAGGTAGACAGGCGAATAGATCGAAAGAGAGCGGAGAAGAAAGGGAAGGCAGAAGGGAGAAGAAGAAAGGGAAAGTGAAAAGAAATATGTAGAAGTGAGGAGAAACAGGAAGCACAAGAGGAAGAAAGAAAAGGGAGAGAACGAGAGAGAGCGAGCGAGAGAGAGGTAGAGTGTGCTAGCAGGCTTTTTGAGAAGCGTCTATTTGTGACTAAGATGCATCAATACGGTGAACGAGGTGCAGCCCAAAAAGACGCTCCTACTCGGTGGAGTGGGGGCGTTATCCAGATGGAAACAGATTTTCATGAGCCGATTACGACCATTTGGCCCTCTCGATAAGTGCATATTTGTTGTCATGATACATTTCTCGCTAATTGGATCGCTTCCCCGTGTAATGGGCGAATGCGTGCACCACATCAAACACGGAAATGAATGATAGCTTTGATCAGTGCTCCCACGCTAGCACTGTTCTCTTCCAGGAAGGGGCGTCATCTTGTATATTTCGGGAGGGGGATAAGTCATCCAATGTTGGCTTGAGTCCCCTTCATTCCCTTTTGACCCCCTCCCCCAATGCTTGTGGGCAAAAGAGGAATACTGAGCCAGTGAGATACTGATAAATGATGTGAAATACTGGTACCCTAGGTACGTAAACACATACTATGTATGACATGCTCATTTTGAACCCAAAAGTTCCCTGTAGATGTCTAGTGTTTTTGTCACGCCCACTCCCCCGTGTGATAGGACAGTTCGCCAACGTTGGCGGGCTGCCCATGAGATAACACGGGCAGATCACGATAGAAAATGAGTAACACTATGCATCAGCTTTTATGTACATGGTGACCTAGATAACAGTTGGCTACTGATATTTTCGTCAAAAGTTACAAGTGCATTTGCCATTTAATCGTGACGATGGTGTCATTTAGCTGCCAATTCAATGCCTAAGACACGAGCAGCGACCTTGCCAGTCGGAGATTTTACATCTGTCAGATGATGACTTGAACGAGCTGCAGGTGGTCAGCTGTCCTGTCGACCTTGCTGACGGTGATGCGTCCCATCTCAAGTCTGAAGGCGGCCTTCAGCTCTTGAAGGTTCTCTTTATTGTCAACGTGGGCACGTTCTTTAGATGACCCCACAGCACGGCGTCCAGTGGCGACAGGTCGGACCGGCCACGAAGCCACTCCGCGGCAGACTTAAGCAGATGTGCACTCCAGGGAAACGCCCCTCCAGCTGATCAAAGAAGCCTGTGCCGTGTGCGGTGACACCCCGATCTGCTGAAGCCCCTCCTCGTCCCGATCAATCCCGTGATGGCGCCCCAGGCGGCCCAGAAAGATATCAGACCGTGGGGTAGCGATGTAGTACTCTGATATCAGACCGTGGGGTAGCGATGTAGTACTCTGATATCAGACCGTGGGGTAGCGATGTAGTACTCTGATATCAGACCGTGGGGTAGCGATGTAGTACTCTGATATCAGACCGTGGGGTAGCGATGTAGTACTCTGAGGTGGTGTTCACAAGATCTTTGTTTTCATCTTCACAGCATCTTCGCAGAGTTGAGATTTGATGAATGTGATTGACTGAAGACTGCTATGTTTGCAGTCATATTTTGCCGTTGATTGGTCATTCAAATGTTCCCGCAGCCTTAGCTGTGCGAGAAATACACTTGTAAGTGTTGGGTAAACCGTGGGTTAACTTTTATCTCGGCCACCCTGTATACGCCGTAGTTTACATAGAAAGTTCGTTTCGTCTTTTAATTTTTTTTGCGAACCTGATACTATCGTATTAATAAATCAAGATCGTACCGCACAGTCGGGTGACCTAACTCAGTGTTTCGGGCGTACGTTTTCACGGAAAAGAGGACGTTTTTCAGCACAATTGCGTTCACACGACTGGGGATCATAAGATACGCACACCACGCTCCGCATTTGCGATACAAGGACTGTTTTCTTGGGAGTTTCGGGGTTCCAAATTGTAATGTCCCTATCACGGTGGCGGTCTTATCTTTTAAAGACGTAGTCCGAACCTTGTAACTGAGTGTCTCTCTGAGGTGGGTGCCCACGCTCAGCCCCGTTTGTCGCGTAAACCCTGGCCCCACCATACGACCGTAAAATTTCGGATCGCCGGCAGAATTTTACGACGAAAGCTTGACGCGCCGCAATGCTCGGCACGGCATACCCTGTTCTCTGACGTCATCTCGTCGCTAGCGCGGCCGCTGCCACCGGCCGTAAGCTATCCCAGTCACCGACAAAAAGCGAACACCTGACGCGGTGACTCGAACATACCTCGCCTCTGGTGGGCCAATCGAAAGATAGCCGCTCCAGCCCAGTGAGCTCTGGCCGCGGGACGGGACGGGACGGGGCGGGGCCGACACATTTTGGGGCAGGGCGGTTAAAGATACAGATCGGTGGTAAAGCTTTCGCCTGGATGTACCACGAAAAATGGCGTCAAGGAAAGGGGTTATCATTTTATTAGGTGTCCTACAAAGTGAAAGAAACATCGGTTGTTGATCGATTTTCTGAACAAGTTTGACACTGACCACTGCTTTCAAACGTCGGGTACTCTAAATGTAAACGAATAATTTATTGGTAATGTCGTTTAACCACACCCTATCGGTAAAATAATGATCGCTTACTTTCAACATGAAAATCCCAGCTCACGGAGCCTAAACACCAAAAGTTCAAGACCTTGCTTGCCTATCTAAATTCCAACACGTGTTAAAAGCGTTGACCGCGCTACTTGTTCAAACGTTCACTTTAGTGACCGTTCGGTCAGCAGTCTTTGACTTCAACGGCCTCCCAATTAGCTCCATATTCGTTGAGAAGTTTGTGCGGCTCAGCTTCATTTTTGCCTGGGAGCACGCTTACGGTGCAGACAATTTTTTACAGCATCTTGTCTGTACGTGTCAGATCGTATCATTGTGCATAAAACTGTGTTTTTGCGCCTCGGTATATCATTGTCAAACGAAAAATAGAGCAGCTATTTTTTGGATCTCAGCCCGTTGATTTTCTACATTTTCTTTGAATTATACCCCATCGTAAGCATTTTTTTCAACATAGCTTTACATCGACTTCAAATGGTAAGTCATTCCTCAGCATCACTTCTTTAGAATCGACCAAATATTTGTTCTAAAATAGGTGTCATTATGTTGACATCGCGGTGACAGGTTTAAGTGGCCAAATCCGGGAATTAGAAACCAGGAATTAGAGTATGTGGGCTGAGAAAGCTTTAGCATAGAGAGCTTCAGCCTCCCTTCCACTGACCGACTTTAGAGAGTGGCACCCCTGTTTACGCGACTGACTCTGCATGCCTTACAGGCCGCGATACTCTGTCAGTGGTCGGCCCGGCATGTTCCGTACACATTCTAATAGATTCCTCCGGAAGAATCAAAATTCCGCGTTTTTCCATTCAATAATACTCTTTTTTTCTTCCCACACACACACAGCAAAAGAACGCTACCATGCTTCATAATTCAAAGTTAGTATTTGCGGAAAATACTAAAAAATTTGTCACTTGAAAGGTCTCAATGTGCTACCCAAAGGTCCCAATTGGCTGCGACTTCTTCAGTAAATTACATGGAAATATGGCTAATGAAAAACAGCTATTGCACCTTTGACTTCGCTGACCAAGGTTACCGAAAAATGACCCTTCCGTCTGATCTGCACTTTGTATACCGATCCAGACAAAACTGGTGCGTGTCGTTTGGGTCTTAGTGTCGTAAAAAGGCTGTTTCAACTTCGAAGCACGATGTCCAGAGATTGGACGGCATTGATGCTGGTGCTTCCAGGATATATTTGGAGGCGTGATTCATGCCCGGCGAGTTTCGCAAAGATCGCGCAAATGAAAACTAATGGGTGTGTTCGAAGGTAGTGATCAGGGTGATTAAAAATGTCCAACGACGTGCCACCAGCGAGGGCTAAATATACACGGGCGCAGATGGGACCGGTGGTCGGTAAAATCCAGCTGCTGGGCCCGAGCAGGTGCTCGAAACTCTCACAGCTCCCCATCTAGGGCGGTTCTGGGAATCTCATCAGAGCATCTCATCCCCTTCCACCTCACACATCACTGCCAACGACGTCAGGCATAAGTTCGACGGTGGCAGGGACGACCACTCGCTTCTTGGCGTCGCTTATATCGTAAACACATCACACATCAAACTGCTGGTACGACAGAGCTCGAACTAGGTGAGAAGGAAGCACTCAGCCTGCCAAACTTTGCTCACTTAATTGTTTATAGTGAGCCACGCGAATGTTTTAGTCACGTCAGGGAGGACAACAGCAGTACCGACCTGGGGACTGCATCACTACCGCTCGGACGCGGAGGCCTTTCTCCGCGCCTCACCACGCTGAGGGCAGTTCTCTTCACGCGACTTTACATGACGTAGCCGATGACTCTACATCACCCCACACCAGTGGCAGCCCCGCGTCTCACCTCAGCGGCGGCAGCACATCCACCTCACTCACCATGGCGTAGGCCGTCTGGCCGTCGTCGTTGTGGTCGCCCAGCTCGGCCAGCGCGGCCTGGTGGTCGAGCTCCATCTGGCGCCGGCTCCTCTTCATCGTCTCGCGGTGCATGTCCGAGCGACTGGCGTAGTTGACCAGCGCGAACTCCAGCATGGCGCCGAACACGAACATGAGACACACGCCCGTCCACACGTCGATGGCCTTGGTGTAGGAGACGGGCGGCAGCGAGGCGTTGATGCCGGACGTCTGCGTGGCCATCGTGAGCAGGGTGGTGACGCCGAGCGAGACGCGCGCCGGCACGGCGTTCTGGTCCAGCCAGAACGACACCCACGAGACGATGACCAGCATGCAGCAGGGCACGTAGATCTGGATCAGGTAGTAGGAGAACTCGCGCTTGAAGAGCAGGTCCACCGTCAGGCAGCTGTACTCGCCTGCGGAGAGATGAGCGCGGCTCAGATGAGAACAGGACGTAAGCGCGTCGACCTGTGCTTAGAGCTCAATTCGGGAATGTTCGATGTTGAATATGGTTAACGATAGGCGGACGAATTGCACAGCACACACTCATATAAACACAGTTGCCGAAGCGGGCACCTGGTTGCCTTTGTGCGAGGCTTTGCTGTTCCTCGATGGCATTCCCATCAAATGAAGTTACGCTCAAACAAATTAACTACGGTGACGTTAAAGAGCAAGCTAAATGCCAGCTCAGTTGTATCAGCTGATCGGAGATATGCGTCCAGTACGATGGGCTTCCTCGATTACCTGTGTTTGTTTTACTGTTGCAGTACGCTGTTTCGAATTTCTCCAAGGTAAACCTTGGCAGGTGCAGGCCATCGTCAATTTGCACTGGATCTCCTTTCTTCCACACGAATATCAAGTCATCAGTCTTCCAAGCATCTGAAAATGGTGGCACGCAGTTCGAAATCACTCCAGTTCTCTTTAGGGGATGCTTGCAATCCCTCACCGCACAACACGCATGTGCGAGAGCGAAACGGTTGATGTGACGCTGAACTTTCTCAATAGGATGCTGATTGTGGCATCGCAACTTTAGACACGTTCTTCGGGTCAACTTTCCGCTACGCCAAGCACAAGCTTTACGCTGCTTGGTTACGAGTTATTCACGACGCCCAAGCGCGTCTTGCGACGCCGCGGAATAGTGCCATTTCGTCTTAACTGCAGATGTGTAATATGAAACGTGGTGCAATAATGCGCCACGATGTAAGTAGCTTCTCATTTTCGGACGCGTCTAAGCGTGAAAACCTGCGTGAAACAAATGTTGAGAGACATGAAGTGGTTGCAGTTCAAGAAACTGGATCGTCAATCTGTAACAACAACAAAATTGTCCGATGGTGTAACGATTGCTAGAGCTTATAGTGAGAGTTTGTGTTTTTTTGCGGTTTTCAAAGACCAGTTGCTTCGTATTGACTAAATAGACGAATATTTCGTCCGTATGCAGCGCGTTTCTCTTCTTGAATAGGTAGATGGACGAGATGCACAGTTTGTGTACATGAGAGCAGCAATGGATTACTAAACGGAGCAATTCATAACTGAATGTTCCAAAAACTTTATTTTCAAACAATTAATCATCCCATGTATCCCATAGACCACCCAATGCATCGTTGTTCGTTGATACCACTCATGCACAATTCAGGCAGCCCGATGACAGAAATACGTGCCCCGTCAGGGTCAACAGAGATCTGCCGTCCCCAGTACGTACAGCTGGCCATTTTGAGCGAGCAGGTCTGCTTGTCCAGCGGGTACAGCTTCAGGTCCATCGGGCACGACAGTGTCAGCGATATCCTGTCACAGATGCAGACAACGGCGGGTCAGCAACAAACTCACGTGGTGACTCTAGACGCATTGCAACGCCCTGGGGTTCTTCATATTTATTCATATTCATATATGTGTACATCCATGCACTATTATATATTTGTCTATCTATTCCATCTATCTATCTATCTATTCTGTTCATCTATATATATATATATATATATATATATATATATATATATATATATCATCTGACCGGTTCGCTTGCGCCACACCGTCGGTGGAACGCATCTCTCAAAGCCAGTCCGTGACACGCTGTAGAGAAGGTTTTCCAGTCCTCCGGACGCGTTCCACTGTGCGCATCGGAAGCTTCGCTGGTCTGAAGGAAGTATAAATAATCCTAGAACACGGGGATCTTTCCCCCAGTCCTGGCTTCTGGGAAGAATCTGTTCCGTTCGCGGGTAGAGCCTCCCTCGAGATAGCCGAGAGAGCAGCCATCCAGACCTATTCACATTCAGGGCACAATCCTCCTGTCTGCCCCATCTGTGTGAGGAGATGCATCCCCTATCCGCCCCAGCTCTCTCGTGCGGGGAGGGCCGCTCCGTCCGGCGGCGGTCGCTGTCGGCCCTGATGGATGGCCGCCGCCCGCGCCGCCGCTGGCGTCCTTTGAAGTCGAGGCACGTTATCGGCATGGGGCAGCAAAAACCGCCGGCCGACCGCATAAATCGCAGGCGAGGCATGGACGGCGGCGACGGCTGGGTCAACAAGCCAGGCTCAGGGAGATGAGCCGAGGCCGAGTGTTGTGACCTCAGCAGTCCCCGGCCCGAGCGGATAGCACCTGCCCTCAAACTGAGGTAGGGAGCGCGAGATCAGTGACAGTCATCCAGGTTGTCGGATGTGAGATTCATCGACGATCGTTTCACCATTCACCAGTACTTGCACTGGCTGTCTGGACACGAGGATGATCTTCCGGTTAAATCAGACCTCCAAGGCCTCCAGCTGATGATGACTAATCCGCTGAGACTGACTGCAGCCAAAGCCGACGTCAGGTGATTGTGGACAGTAATCGGTCAAAGGTGGAGGATCGCTGGAATCGACATCAAGCTGATTCTGGCCGCACATACCCTCAGACTCTCCGTGTGCAATGTCGTCGTCGTAAGACCCGCTTTAAAGCCTGAGTGGAGTAGAGCTCCCATCGGACGAGTTACTGTAACCAGTGCCACCGTCACAGCGCGCCCTTTCCAGCTCGAAGGAACCGAACGTGGGCTGGAACTCGCCGTGTACAGCGTCGTTGTCATGACCAGCTCCCCTCAGCCTGGGGCCTCACGTATCCATTTCCACTGCCCGTTCGGGAGCCGTTCCACCCGCCGCTTGTCCGACTGGATCTCCGCCTGGGGACGCTGACCTCACTCTCAGCAGCCATCGGGTGTGACTTGTGAGGTGCCGAATGACCGCACGTACTAGGTGCTAGACGGTCGGACCGATTGACGGGCCTTTCTATTTGCATTACATTCCCACAGCAATTCATAGCACGATGCGCATTCACATTCCAGTCGCAAGCTCAGATCAGCCGGGGGAGAACACGCTAGATCATAATTTACAAGAATAATGCATGATGCCAGTCGCGGAACACCAAAAACGAAGTATGGCCATGAATGATTCCTTTCACAGATCCAGGAAGGGCAAAACCAGGCACGGGACCAAAATTTTCCCCGGTCCAAATGCCAAACTTCCTCTCAGACCTCGTCAGGTTGGACCAAATTCCTGCGAAACCACCCATTATGCAGTGTAAGCCTCTTGGCCCAGAGGGGGTGGGGGCTCCCCACTTAACCATGTTCCTGGGCTCTACCACCGTTCTCAGATCCGTCAGCTCTCAGTACAAAGCAGCGACTCATTTTCTCTCTCCCAAACGCAACTTGGTAAAACGCAAGCCGTTCAAGAAAGTGATATCTAACAACGCCATTTAAGTTGAAAAGGTTACTTGGATCGCTTCCAACAACTCAAAGATCTTTAAAACTACATGGAAAATATCAGAGCATTCGGAAATATTTTGTATCCTATTTCAAAAGTCGGGGCAGACTGAGGTTTTTTCTGTAGAACACTTTAACTGTATACGCAAGATCTCGTTGTGGTTCAAATTTTCAAACGTTTTAATAATGCTCCTGTGCGAGATAAAATCGCGGCATAATATACAATAGCCCAGAATTGTACAGCCTCCCTTATCGATATTTCATTTGTGTATAAACAAATACTATTTTGTATGGCTGACAATAAAGTCTAATGCTCCTGGGACACGTTGACGTTGGCGTCTTTGCCATTTTAAGCGATGAAGCGGCCTCACGATAATCAGCATCATGTCTATTTAAGCTAGCAAGGCATGTGATTTACAAGCCGACCACACCTTGATCCAGAATCACTTGGAACCAAATCCCAGCGCATAAACGTTGGCTGTCCTGTGATACAGACCTGTAGATGCCGATACAGTAGCCCTGCCCTAAGCAGTTTGCATCCCGCTCGATCTGCTGTGGGGCATTTAATTCCGTCCACGCAACCCGCCCATCCCAAACCACACCACGACGTCTCCAATTCCGAAGACCCGTATGCGTCACTCGGCGTGTCTTGGGCGCCGGGTCTCGCGGGTAAACAACTGCCATACAAACTAATGGTGGGTCTCATCCAATTCGGCCTGAAGCAACTCTGATAAAGGCAATTAAGGCTGAAGGTTCGCTTTCATCAACGTAATAGGAAGACGAAGGCCTCCATCTTCGTAGAATTTCCTGCAGAATGTCAGCATAGCATTTTCGATGAATGATGCAAAGCGAGATTTGGTTCCAAAATTGTTTGCGTCGAAATTTGACCCCAGGCCAGTGTTCAAATATGTAGAATGTGTTCATCTCCTATGCAATGCGAAGAACCCGTTCGATGATGTTCGGACTGAGCTGATTTTGCAAGCCATAGCATGCAATCTTTGCCGCCCCAATCACGTTGCCTTTTCGGAGCATCCACACAGCATATGATATTGACGTAGAATCTCGAAAATGGCGTCGAATGCCGTGTTTCCACTGAGGTCAGGGAAGTGTGGTTCAGCTGACCTTTGCCCATGCCTGACCTTGGTTTGACACCGCCGGCTACACTTCCGGCGACGGGCTGCACACGCCTTGTTGTGCAGCTGTTCGTGGAGCCCCACCGTTTGCAGTGGTTACGCGGGTGTTCAGAGGCCATGGCTTCACACAGGAACCGAGCACCACCCGCTCACATGACAGCCCGCGTATTTAGTCGCCGGCTGTTTCGTTTTTACGTAAGTACGCAGCCCAGAGGCGTAGTCTCGCAAAATGAGCTGGGGGGGGGGGGGGGGACTTATTGTGACAGATGATTAAACCTGCCCTTTACGTATGACAACAAGCGAGTTTCTCCCCGGATTTGGTACCCTTTCTTATCAAAGCTGGGGGAGGTGTCTGAATCACCCTCAACTGAATAGGAATCTGTACCCCTGTACTCAGCAGGTTTAGACGCGTCAGATTTGTACGCGAGTGCTCTCCGAACCCAATGAAAAGCTTTGGACGAAACCATGAACTCGTGCAAATGTGCACATTTTTCACCGCTATGACGACAACTTAATTTTTTCCGAGAACATTTGTTTATGCGACACATAGAGGCCAGAATCAACCCATCGCGGCACGCTGCTTCCGCGTCCGTGGTTTGTGCAGATGTGCTCACTGTTGGAAACGTATTGTACATTTGCATCAGTTTGGCGTTGATGTGAATTGGCCATTCCACTGGTTAATCTGGGGCGACGACAAATGACTCATTGACAGGATAACGAAAACCTGTCCTTAAAGCTCGTTAGCATCATTGAGTAGTCTCAGGTCTTCTGGATTTCAAACAATCGGGCTCGTGTAATGCATCAAAATAAAGCGAAAAGGGGAATGCCCACTGAGGACGCGGGAACGCGCCACGGTAGTCCGTGAGTGGGTTTCAAACGGCTCCTGGAGTCTCAAACATAGCCCCAGCAACCGAATAGCTAAATCACTCTCAGCTAACACTAGGTAGAAGCATTTCCTATTTCGGCCGAATACACCACCGAACGGCCAGTGTGTGATTGCCTTTACAAAAAGGTGGTTACAGAAAACCAGGAACAAGCAGTTTCTCCATCTATTTGTCGTTCTTGTGGAGTACGACAGCCTGATGAAACTCACATGCATCCCAGATCTAAAAAATGTTTCGCGTGACTTTGTTCAGTTGTAATTAGAAGCGCTTCAGCTCGTAAATTTGTACGCGGTAGGTGACAACTGAATACAGCTTATCGTATTAGTTAGCTAAAACGCATTTGACTTATGTAACCTATTCCTGGACGCGCGCGCCTTATGAAGCCCAGAAGAATTAGATCACCTCGCTCATTAGGGCGCTGAATCAGCGTCATAAAACACTACTATTTCAAAGATCATCGCCGCCCATGTTTGCAATGGGTTTACCGAGTAGAATTTATCAGAGGGATAGCTACAGGCAATATGTCAGGGCTGAACATGCGTCTCGATATATATATATATATATATATATATATATATATATATATATATATATATATATATGGGCACCAGTATTCATTTCATTTTGGTGAAAAGGACCTCTAGATAATTTGGTCATAAAACTGCTGTTTGGAACGAAATTGCATTTTTGAACGTTCCCAAGTTTCGTTTGGAGACGGGAGCATGCTGGCCTACAGGTACATCTTGAAAAATGTTGTGCACATTAGAGCACTTCACGGACTGAACTGTCATGCTCCTGTCCTCCTGTTCTCCTGTCCTCCTGTCCTCCTGTCTAGATAGGCAGTCCGGATCCAATCCACCCACCAGTCAAATAAACGTATGAGCAGACGATCTAACATAACCAATAAGGACTTACCCAACGCCAGAGTTCTTGGCTGGGTGTAAAGAGTACCTAACTCACATCAAACAGCTAACTGCTGGGTGAAAATGCGTTTTCTGTCCCTGATTGTAGACGCCAACGGTTCATTCTTCGATCAGGGAGAG